AGACAATGGCGGGGGCAGCTCCGGGCACGGCCACCGGGGGGGGGCACAGAATGGGACGCAGACAATAGGGGTGCAGTACCGGACACAGCCACTGGGGGCACAGACCAGGACGCAGATAGTGGGGGGGTGCAACACCAGGCCACAGCCACCGGGGCGCAGAACTGGCTTCAGACAAAGGGGCTGCAGCACCAGCCAGGGTCACTAGGGGTGCAGAACAGGACGCAGACAATGGGGGTGCAGCACCAGCCATGGCCACCAGGGATGCCGACAGTGGGGGTGCAGAACAGGATGCAGACAAGGGGGAAGGGAGCAGGAGGGCGCTATGCCAGCGATGCCCACGGGGGGGGGGGAGGGGGAACAGCACCACGGACCGACTTTTCAATCCTATTTTGATGCCAACCCCACCCCCACACACACACACACCTTTTAAAATCGTTTCTGGGGTTGGTTAAGAGCCATTTTCCCCTGCTACATTTTTAAAAATGGATTTAAGAGACTTGTTTTTTCCCCACCCCTTGACAAAGGGTTCTGGTTAAGAGCCAGCGGCCTGTGGCTTTTTCAGCATTGGAGTTTCCGCTTCAATTGTGTCTTTTTCAAATTTTTATTCATTTACAATCCTCCTTAACTAAAAAAAAATTCAATTTTCAGTCAGGTCCTGCTTTTAAACCCATGAGTCATTCACAGAGTCGTTAAAGAAAAACATTTGCTGCCTTTTTTATTCATTTCACGTTTTTTATTTCATTTCATTTTTAGCCTTTAAACCTTTGTTCCCATCGCCCATAAATTAAATGTTTGGGTTCAGTTACCGAGTCATTTGGTCTCATTTTAAAAATTCAAGTTAGTTTTATTTACTCTTTTGACCCCCCTCCCCCCGATAATGCCCTGTTGCTTTGATTCTGTCACTTTTCTCTGTACCACTGTTTCTTTCCTTTTTAAAAAACAGTAAATGGAAAATTCAGGCACCCCTGCCCCACTTGCCCTTTGTTTTAGTTCCCGTTTAAGGGGGTCAGTTCAAACGGGGGCCTGGCCCGGCCCGTCATTCACACGGAGGTTTTGGTTTTGGTTGCCTTTTTCCCCATTAAGTTGGAATTTTATTTACTTTTTTTCAAATTAATTTGTCCTCGGTTTTTAATTTTGTTTTTAAAATAAAATTGTGATCAAGGCCCCCCCCAAGGTGGCGCATGGGCTGGATTCTTAGCTGCTGGCCCCGGGGGCTGAACCAGGGCAACAGGATGGCAGGCTAGATAGGCCCATGGGGCAGATGGGAGGGGACAGGCTGCCGGGCTGCGGAGGCTGCTCCGGAGGAAGGGAGGCTACGGGGCTAGCTAGGCCCACTCTGGGGTGTGGGGTAACTCAAGACTTGACAGTCCAACAGGCCTCAACCTCAATGGGCTGGTGAATTTTAACCCTTGCCTCCCCTGCTGGTCAATAACCAGCAGTTTCAGTGACAGGCACCCCATCCCCCCCACCTGGGGGAGTAGGGACCTCGGGGGTGCCTGCGGAGCTAGTGCCCATGTTGAGATGGGGGGGGGGCACACAGGTTGGAGGCAGCTGCTGAAAAATCAGCATTCCTCTGTCCCCCTCCCCCAGACCTGCCCAATACCCCCTGCCCCATTACCCCAGCCAGAGCTCTGTAAATAACACCGTATATTGTCCCTGTGCTGCTGTGATTGAGGGGGGGGGGAGGGGGTAGAGTAAAGACAAGAAAAGGGGGAGACAGCCAGGCCTCCTAGGTTCTACCTCCAGCTCAGGGACGGGGTGGGGTCTAGAGGTTAGAGCAAGGCAGGGCTGGGAGCCAGGACTTCTGGGATCTATCCCTGGCAGGGGAACAGCATCTAGTGGTTAGAGCAGGGGGGAGCCAGGACTCCTGGGCCTAAGGGATTTAGCTATTACAATGCTGAGTACGGCAGCACCGACCTTGCCAGGGCCCCCTGCCCCCACTGCCTGTGACCGCACGTTTGGCACCTCAGGCACTGGCTGAGGCCCGCAAGAGCCAGCAGGCTGAGTGGAGAGGAGCCTAAAGTAGCCAATAGGAAGTGCTGAGGAGAGGGGTGCGGCTGGCAGGGAGAGCAGTGCCCAGGGGCTGTTGGCTGATGCCATCTGGCTGAGTCCCCTGTGCCCCTTCCTAGGGCAGCCCTTAGTCCCGCCCCCTTTGTTCGCCAGCGCTGCTCCCCTTGCTGAGAGGTGGGGGACAAAATCACCTTCCCCTGTGTGTGGGGGGTGCTTAATGGCACCCTCAGACTCCCATGGGCCTTCTGACTCTGCCCTTGAGGGGCCTGGTTTCAGCCAGTCCCCTTCAGGTCCCTGCCCCCCAGCTTTGGGGGACAGACCGCGGGTTCCTGGCTTCTGGCACAGCGTTAACCGTTTCGCACCCCTGAGGTAACAATGCAAAGTAGAGAGAGAGAGAAAAACTGGCACACAGGCTCCCTACAGTTCCAGAACATTCCCCTTGGCCCAGCAGCTCTGCCAGCAGTCCCCCTACCAGGCCAGGACCTGTCTTACCCCCCGCCCCCCACCTTCAGCCCTGTGGCTCCAGCAGGCAGCTAGGCCAGGGTAGAGTAGGTTCCCTGCGGCCAGGGAGAAAGGATGTGCAGATATGTTGCCCAGCTACCCGCTGGGTACCCATCCGTGGGCAGGTGCCGTGACCATCTGGGGCAGCTGTAAGGGAAGCTATGATGGCAGGGCAAGGGCAGTTTAACCCAGGCAGCCCCAGAGACAGGGCAGCCACCGTTTAGCCCGGGCTGCTGTGTGGCATAGGGAGCTAGGCTCCCAAGAGCGCTGGTGGCCAGCCCCTGGCGCCCCATCTAGTGGGACCTAGGCGAGCTTGCCAGGGCTGCGAGAAAAGGATGCTAGAGGGCACTAAGGAGAGCCTCCGAGAGCTGGAAACCCCTCTCTCAACCCCGTCTTCCCCTGCGGCACGGGGGGATTGGACCCAGGCTCCCCAGGGCCAGTGGAGTGCCCCGCCCACAGGGTTACATGGAGGGCAGGAGGGCTGGCTGCTTGGCTCGGGGAGCGCTTGCTGGAGCAGTGCTGCCTGTGCGAGCAGCAGGCAAGGGCCCACCTTGAGGCGGGAGTTGGCACAGATCAGCTGAGTGGGGGGCAGGATGCCCGTGGTTCATCCCATGCCCAGCCCCCAAACCAGTGGCCCCTTGGGCCTTGCTTGGCCAGTGGTTAGGTGCTCGCTGAGTGCAGGGCCTGGCCCCCAGGCTTCTGGCCAGCCCAGCCAGGGCTTCACCAAGAGTTCGGCCAACTCATCGTGTTTTCATGGGACACTGCAGGTTCCTCACACTCTGCTGAAACCAGGACATTTCCAGGGGTTCTCCTGCTGGTTATCTGCTCCTCAGCCACTGTGGCCTTCCCTACACCAGAGCCAGCGCCCCCTAGAGGGGGAGAGGCCACTTAGCTCCCATCCAGGCCCAGGGCAGGGAGGTAGACAGCACCCCCTAGAGGGGAAAGGCCCCTTGTCCCATTCCCTGCTCGCCCTCAAGTCAATCAGTCCTGTCCCGCCCGGCCAGGGCCAGATGGGAGCTGGCGCCCCCTAGAGGGGAAAGGCACCCATGACTCACTCAGAGTTTCAAGGTCAGGAGACTTTTATTCCACAGAGTGGAAAGTTCAGTTAAAAAACTTCTCCCCCTCCTGCTTCCCCAGATCGGGGGAGGGGGGGATGGGACGTCCCAGCAAGGAGCCAACGCCCTGGGCGAGACCTGGCACCGGGACCATCGTGGTTCAGCAGTTACTGGCGGTGCCTGCGGTGAGATAAGAGGGGAAGGGAACAGACCCGCTTACAGAGAAGCCATGGGAGCCATCTGTGGAGCTGGGGGGGGAAACAACGCACTAGCCCCACATAGGGTCCCCTCCTCTCTGCAGCGCTGAGAGGTCTCTCCCACCAGCAGCCACTAGGGGGCGACACAGGGAAGGGAGAAGGGCCCCACAAGGATCAGGGTGACAAGTTTAGAGACCCCCTCCCCTCCCCGCAGACTCCAAAGCATCCCCCCAGTCCGACCAGGAAAGGGGTTGGGGAACTTACCGGGGGTGACGAGGTGAAGGGGCTCATTCGGCCGCCGGCTGAGGAGGGAGAGGGAGGGTTATGAGCATGGGGAACGTGACCCCCCCCCTTCAACACCACGACCTCCCACCACGCCAGCCTTACGCCTCCATTCCCCCTCCAGCATGACCCTCCCCCCCACCACACACACCCCATGCCCCCTCCTCACTGCCCCACCCCCACTGTTTCCCCAATTCACACCACATGCCCCCAGCATCCACAACATGACCCCCCCACCTCTTCCAAAGTGTAGCATGACCCCTCCCTTGCACTCCCTAGACCCCACCCCCTACCTGGCTTTGCGGTTAAATTTGCATTTGCATTTTCCACCTGGGTGGGGGGGAAATAAATAAAAAGGGGGGGGGATTAGACAAACTTGGGGGAAGAGCAGCAATCCCCCCCACCCAGGAGCTGCCAGCCCCCCCATGGGATCAGGGCCTGGGAACAGTCCCCCCTTCCCAATCACTGCCCCCCCCACAGCTAGTGACAGATGCTCAGTGCAGACACCCCCAATCTCTTCAGGTGCCAGGACATCCCCACCCCACCTCCACCCTTCAGCTGCCGAGACACCTCCAGGGCACAGGGACACCCCCCTCCCCCTCACCTCACGGACACCGGCACACCCTCCCAGTTCTGAGGCCCCTACCTTCCTAGGGCCCTGGGACACCCCCATCCAACCCTCACCTGCTGGGTGCTGAGACCCCCTCCCCAGTTCCTGGCCCCACCCCACTCACTGAGCAGCACAATGATCCCCAGGGCACAGAGAATGCCAGCGGCGATCAGCCCTCCGAGTCGCAGGCGGTGCCAGTCTGGGGGGGGGGGAGGGGAGAAGAGGAGCCGTAAGAGCCTGGCCTAAGGGGACCTCTAAAGCAGCTCCCTCTGCTGCAGAGGGGCTATGCCCCCACCCCCATGCTCCCAGATTCACCCCCCGACCCCCCACTCAACACCACATCCCCCAAATCCCCCCCACCCAATACCATGTCCCCTGAATCCCTCCCATCCCAGACTCCCCCATCCTCCCACACCCAGAACCCCCAGCCAGATCCCCAAATCCCTCTACCCCCATCCTCCTCCCACAGCCCAATCCATCCTCCCTCCCTCCCCTCGGTCCAGTGCGGGTTCTCCACAGCCCAGCCTAGGCTCCCCATGAGAGGGCAGGAGACTGGCTTGGCCAGTCCAGCCCCTCCCTGTCTGTGCCAGGCTCTGCCAGCAGGGTCCTGGCCCGGGGAGATGCCAGCGGAGGGAGATGGCAGGAGTGGCACTTACCATAATAGAAGGGGCTTGCTGGATCTGGCATGGGGCAGAAAAGAAAGAGTTAGGGTCGTGAGGCCAGGACTCCTGTGTTCTACCCCCAGCTCTGGCAGGGGAGTGGGGTCTCCAGTGGGTTAGAGCAGGAGTGGGGGCTGGGTGTCAGGACTCCTGGGTTCCTTGGACCACTCCAGGCCGATATCCTTCCCCCAGCTGCTCCATTCCCCCTAGGCCTCTACTCTTCCCACCCCAACAGAGGAGTGACAGCCAGGCTGAAGTGCCCCCCCGCGAGTCCCCTCTGCTCCCTCCCGCCTCCCAGGGCAGCTCGGAACCATGCTGGCAGCAGTAGAGCGGAGGAGGGTGAACTCACCCATGGGGTGTTCAGCTTTCAGGACAGGAAACACCGCTGAAAGAGAAAATAGCATTGGACTCCCAGCAGGGGGTGCTGTGGGGGGGCAGGGCAGGAGAGCTGGCAGAGGGGGCAGCTCCTGACTACTCCAGCCCCAGCCTCTTCCAGCAGGGGGCACTGTGGGGAGCGTCTCACCTGCCAAGAGCAGCAGGAGGCCGGTGGTGATTGGCTGCATCCTGGAACCGAAACTGGGTGGTGGGTCCCTACACGGAGAGACAGGGCAGTGAGAGCTGAGAAGTGGCCAGCACCAGAACTCCTGGGTCCCCCCTAGACCTCACTCCTGCCTGGGCCCCCGTGTCACATTTCCCACCCCCCGCCAACCAGC